AACTTTTTATTTGAACAGGTATATTTAGGATTATGGAATAGTGACTTTAGTGGAATATTTAGGATTTGTCTTCGCAAAACAATCAATACGACGTGAGTTATCCTTTTCATATGGAGTAGACTTGTAGAGACTAGAAAAAGAAACTCACTAGAGAATGAACTTGAAGAATATTTAGGATTTGTCTTCGTCAATCGATACGAAGTGGATTTTCATTTTCATATTTTAAGACTTTTGTAGAGACTAAGAAAAGAAACTAAAGTAACTGATTTCTCCTTAGCTGCATGATAATTTAAATATGTAGTCAAGATTTTCTCTTAGAATCGACTCCTGCCTACAGCCAATCGACTGGAAATAAGATTTACTTTGAACACTCGATGTATTTGAACCAAACAATGCTTCATTTTAGAGGGTTTAAAATAGTAGAAGTTTTACTGTAATAAAATCACCTCGGTTAGCCAGAAAAAGACAGCAACAAAAAACACAACTTAGAAGCAGAAACTGTAATATCTAAGATAACTTGAATCGCTTTGGTAGAGATTCTATAAGAAAGTTTTGGAAAATGCACTAAAAGTCTGTTTTACGGGATTTCCTGATAATATGCATAAATTAACGCCGATTGCCATAACACACCCAACACTCAAACTTTAATCCTTCAGCAACTGAGTATATCGTGTAATATCTTTCAGACGCGTCCAAAGAAAAGTAAATTTTAACCGTTTATTCATAATTGGCTAGTGACCAAAAARACTGTTTCGAGACACCTTGGAAGTCTCGCTTCCACACTTACAGCGCCTTTCATGATTACGCGCCCTAGTCAAATTTGGCGCCTGCCCAAAACACGGATTTTGGCTTCCGTCAATCAAACTCACGATAACAACTAGGCAATCTAGGCAGGTTGAATGGTAAATTATTAACAAGTTTAATACAACAGGTTTGGTCATATTCTACAAGTGAGCAAACCATACACATGTTACTTCTTCAGTTGGAACTGAAAAAACTACCCTCTTGACTATCAAGCTAGTTCGTCGTAAACCGATCTGTACTCTGACTCGTCTAGTAGCTCCTCTCTCTTCCTCGAGATAATTTATCCTGACTAACTATCCGTGTAGCCTGTAAATTTACAATTCAGGAAATTACTCTAGTTCGAWTTTTACGCATCGAAACATCTCGTCCACTCAATACAATGTAATCTTTGAAATATTACGAGATATAGCCTTACATATAGAGTTCAAAGGAAAATGTTCTGGATCGATCTTGGTCTACCAGGTTATGCTCAAAGGGCTGTACCATAACGCACTTTTCGTTTCTCTTTGTAGTATTATCACTTTTTCACAAAAGCCATGCTTACTACTTATCGGAACCTCTGCGATTTCTTTCTCAAACTCTTGACCAACTGGCAATTTTAGGAAGTTATCTATATAGATCACAAGTATTCGTATTCGTTCGGTTCGCTCGCAATTCATTCGGTTGTTTTCGTGAGTTTGATTGACGGAAGCCAAAACCTGTGTTTTGGGCATGCGCCAAATTTGTCGAGGTCGCGTATTTACGAAAGGTGCTGTAAACGATCGAAACGCATATATTTGAAAACGCAAAATTAGTTAATATGTATGAAAACTAAAGTTATTCTGGTTGTTTCTGCGGTGACCATTCTCTCCCATTATTTTCAAGAACTTGAACTGCATAAATATTTATGTGGAACTTGAACTTGATTCCTAATGTTCTGTATTGATATTCATAACATTTCTTGGAAAGACTTAAATTGTATATGATTTAGATCATGACAGGTGTCACTTTACTATGATTATAAAAGCAATCCTAAGAACGATAAACTAAGGTTCATAACAGTTCTGACGTGCAAGGAAACTCGGAAAATCGCATATCAAGTGAAGACGTTCCCAAATGGCAGTTCCTTTTATAGGTGGTGTAATGGTTGGTGGATTGTGGGTATGGAGGTACTTTAGAGGTGAAAACGATGGTGATGATCCTCCTCCTACTCCTACACCAGTAACGACTTGGACGACACAAGAAACATACGAAGCGACAGCTTCAGCCTTTTCTGTCATCACTGGTTTAAAGATCATAAGCGAAAAGGATGTACAAAAGCTGCTTGAACTAGGCAAAGAGGTGAMAGCACTCGAAATCAAGGATGTCTTCTACGGTCACCTCAGCTCTTCCGAGACAGAAGCTTACGACCAAGAACAACTTTACTACATCCCGGATTCTGCTTACGATCCACAGTACGACTATGACTTTACGAACTACAAGGAAGATGACACTAACTGCACCAGAGGAGACTATCCATACAAGAGGCCAGCTGGATGGAACAGAAAGGCTGTCAGAGTGAACGGCAAGTATGAAGATGATGTTTGGTTGGGACAACCAGGATGGAGGGATGGATCTTCTCCAGGAGAATGGCCAGTATCCTACCATGGTACGAAGATAGATAACGTCCCCAGTATTGTGGCCGGTGGATACGACACCAATAGGAGTGTACGTCAACGGTATGGTCCTGGTATCTACTCCACACCAGACGTTAAAGTAGCTGAAGGTTATGCTACAAAGTTCAACTACAAAGGAGAAAACTTCAAGTGCATTCTCCAGAACCGAGTCAACCTGAAGAAGACCAAGGAGCATAAAACACCCGACGGGATATACTTTGTAACTCCTGATAAAGACGATATTCGTCCTTATGGAGTGTGTATCAAGAAAATCTAAACAAGCCCGGTCGAAACCAACTACGACTCCAACGAATATTCCATAACTTTTTATTTGAACAGGTATATTTAGGATTATGGAATAGTGACTTTAGTGGAATATTTAGGATTTGTCTTCGCAAATCAATCAATACGACGAGAATTATCCTTTTCATGTGGAGTAGACTTGTAGAGTTTAGAAAAAGAAACTCACTAGAGAATGAACTTATTTAGGATTTGTCTTCGCCAATCGATTTTCATAGATAACACTTTTGTAGAGACTAAGAAAAGAAAATAGAGCACCTGGTTGCCCCTTAGCTGCATGCTAATTTACATATGCATATATTCTAGACCTTTCTGCCTTTCTCAGAATTTTAGGGAAGTACCGAGAAATCGGCCTTGGATCGTATTTGACAAAACACGCAATCCAGAACTAGAGCATGACTATAGTTTGAATACCAGTATCTAAAATAAATATTTAGTAGTAAAATGAGTCTGTTTACTTGCGTTTTATTAATTTATTTAACCGAAACCTGAACGAGTAAATACACAGGGAGSCCGGCTTTAGAATTTGTACATGAATAAAAAAAATCAATAAGTGCTTTTTGGGTTTCCTGTGTTTAGAATTTGTTCATGAATAAAAAAAATCAGTAAGTGCTTTATTGGGTTTCCTGTGTCATTTGAGATTTGAAACAAGACGCTGATACGTTGAATTTCCGGTAATCGTAAATCGTTAACGTAGCAGGAGTAATGTAAGTAACTCGAGAGCAGCTTATCATTCAAATTTAACGTATTAGTGTAACGTACTCACTAGTAAGTGGTTTACTAGGACGTGCGTTACACTAATACGTTACGTTAATCTGCTATCAAGTTACTGGTGAATGAATATTTAATGAGAAGAAAACAAAGCAAATCATTACTGTGACAGTGGTTTGGAAATGTGTTCTTAATTTGCATTAACTCATGAATATTTAATGAG